CAAAGCATAGGGGTATTACTCATTGAACTTTACCATGATTGTACCCGGATATAAATCAAATTTAAGCTCACTAATCATCACAGGGTATATCTCATAGGGGGATCTACCGTATGGCACTTTACGGTAATGCATTTATCTTATAAATCAGTATATTCTAGAACTAAATCTATACATCGAGACAGCTGCTCGTCTAATAAGAATTTGGGTCAAAATCCCGAAAAACGGATCTCCGAAAGAACGTAATACCGACAAAGTTAGCCGGCACTAGTCATAATGCTGGCCAATTTAGTCGGTGTTATGTTCTTTCGATAATCTGTTGTTCGGGATTTTGGCCTAAAATCGTCTAATAAGTATGTTCAATTTATTTTTAGCTTATGCAGAAATTTATGATTTGTCAGCCAGCAGATTAACTCAGATGTAAAAATTCTGAATGTAAGTTAAGACTTCAATAATAAACGTAAGGTGAGGATTCTTGAACACGTGAAATTGTTCGAGACGATCTACCGGCACAGCATCCATATGATTTATTTCATTTTTATTCTTATACCAGATCTAATCAATTTCTTGACTAATATGGTGACACGAATTATTTTGCTCTGCCAATAAGGGAGATAAACATGTGATGCTGTTCTGTCGGTAGATTGACCCGAGAATTTTATATATGCTTTGAAATATAATATCCATAATACCGAAATCAAAAACTTATCGAATAATATCAGTCAGTTTTTATCAGTTCCCAAAATTTGAGAAAATGTGATGATAAATTTTTATATTTGAGTTCATAGTGTGAAACTGATCATATAACCAGCCGACTCGAATTTATGAGAACAGCTATAAGGCGATTTACTATTCTTAGGATGCAAAAAGACGTCACAGTCTAATAATTAATAAATTAAAACCATGCTATTTATTATGTAACTATTTAGGGGTGGGAACCAAAAAATTTATATCTGGAAACTTATGTATTAAGCCTTTATAGTAAATGGAAATTAATGCCAGCCTTTATAGGATTCTAAAAAGGTTGTATTACTAGGCCCAAATTCTAATTTTTCCTGGCCCAAACTTTTCCAAACTTTGGTCAAAATTAAAATTTAGGCCAAAAAAAAACCCCCCGATTTAATTAATACCACCTTTTTTTAAAATTATCGGAGTCCTGGGTCCTGCTCTTATCTTCAGTGAGGTAGGATGTTGAACGAACTTTTAAGATTTAAAGAAAATAAGTAAGGGTCGTTTGGTGCAATAAAAAATTTTTGCATCCTATGTCTGATATAACCCATGCGTACATACGTATTTTACAAATTTCCAAACCACTTCTGATTGGTTCTACTAATCATTCACATATCGGAGTATTTGTGCTATTTATGGTGAAGTGGGGAAGAAAATTAGTAAAACCAGGGATTTTTGTGTTAATTGATAGTCAATACATATTAAGTATAAATCTATAACGTTATCTGATTAAAAATTTGGTGTTACATTAATAAATTTGGATCCTTATAAACGGTTTTTAAGGTCCAAATTAACTTTTCTTTACTTCATCCTAAAATGTCGGAAAGCTCAACTCGTAAAATATCTGAATTATATATTCATCCTGTAAAATCATGCAAAGGTATAAAGATAAAATCATGGAAAGTTGGACCATATGGATTCAAATACGATAGATATTGGATGATTATAGATGAAAAATATCAATTTGTGACCCAACGTGAAAAACCAAAGGTGATTATTAGATTCATCGTATATGGGGTATTTAAGGACCTTTATTAATATAATTGGAATTGCACTAATAACAATTAAAGCTCGTCCTTATAACGCCGAAAATCGAAGAAGTGGATTCCGAAGATGAAAGCAAAGGAGGGGATCTTGTACTTTCCGCTCCTGATATGGAGGAACTGCGTTTGCCACTTTTACCAGAGTACGCATAAGGTTTTTCAATCGTTTTTGATCCTGAATTAAAGAATTTGACTTACCATATTAATATTTATTAGTCAAGATAATTGCATTAAGTATAAGGCCACTATTTGGGAAGATACTCTTGAAGTATGCGATTGCGGCGAAGAGTCATCAAAATGGCTTACCAAATTTCTAGGATTTTCAGCTAGAATTGTGTTTAAATCTGGCGCTAGATTTGTTGCTAGAAATATCCCAAAAGAAATTAATCATCAACCCAAAGTAATAATATTATATGTTTTAAGTTTTGATCATCTTAGAATTGTGGTTTTGAATTTATCTTTATTATTAATAATTCTTTTTTTTTACAATTTTGAAAAAAGATTGCGCTCACCGATGGATTTCCATTTTTTATGTTTTCAGAAGAATCTTTAAGTGATCTAAATAAACGGTTATCCACACCAATTGATTCCCGAAGCTTTCGACCAAACATAGTTATTCAAGGATGTAATGGACCCTTTGAAGAAGACACATGGAAAGAAATTATTATTGGTAACGATAAGGAAAATGTGTTTCACGTTGCTTGTAGATGCACTAGATGTGTAGGTAAATAAAATAAAAAAAAAGTTTAAAAATTTGTGGTTAGCATTAAACGTATTTATGAATTACAATATATGAAACCCCCATTCATTACAATTATATAGTGACAAATGTAAATCCAGATACAGGAGAAATAAACAAGCAGATATTAAAAACCTTACAATCATATCGCAGAGTCGACGCAGGAGCTAAATATTTTTCTTGCTTTGGTAATTAATTTAGGAAATTTTATCTAAATTTTTTATTTATAAACTATTGAAATTTATGCTTTTTTTTCTTTCTTTATTTTAGGAATGAATGCCATTCATACTAAATATGGTATTTATTTGTTTATTAGCTTAATTTTTCAATTGAAATTAATTTACATATATTTTATTTTATATCATTTATTTAGACATCATGCTCAGCGTTGGTGATCCGGTGACCGTGGTTTCTACTGGTGAACACATGCGTGAGCCCTGCTAATTCCAAGAATGATCGTTTATTATAAATATAAGTTAAATAAAAAGATTTAGACCTTTGCTTTTTGTATCGTCAAAAATCACTCATTTTATAATATTGGAATTATTTTTGCAAATAAACAAAGTTTTCGATCCGTGACTTGCTAATCTTAATTTCTAATCAACTTATCGATTTGTTGTAATGTAGTCTTTTAAACTTACCCTTACCTTATAGAAAGGTAACTTAGTGTTAGATGCACTTTTTTAAAAAAAAAATTTACTAGTATATCTAGATTGAATCCGGATTCTGGATTTATCTTTGACCAGAATTATGATTTCGACCCCTCTTATGTTTTTTAATTATCGGTCCATAAATAGTAAAGATTATCAACTGATTGTTTATTTTATTATTGCATACGTAGAGATATTATTTTGTATAGTTTTGGTAAACAAATATTGATAAAAGAAATTATAAAGTGTTTATGGTTGCTAAACTAGTATCTAGTCTTACAAAAATAGCTTTCTTATAAAGACTATTTGTAATACTGAATTATATACAGTATTATATGCACAACAGAAATCAAGTATTTTGATATATTACGTACGCAAGTTACATAATATTAATTAATAGTTATGATTTTAGTAATTCACGTAACATTAAATATTTATTATTCATATATATTAGTTTTTGAAATATACGTTTAAAAAGCCAATTTATAACAAAAAATTCGCAATTAATAAATTGTAAATGAGTATATATAATACAGTAGTATAAATTTTGTTAATTACTTAATATACTGTATATCGATATCAAGTAATTTTTTAATTTTTTGAATAGATTATATAAACAAATCTGTAATTTTATTATAAAGAATATACTGTATTATTTTTCGGGTCTACTAAAATGCACCATTACTATAGGTGCTATATCTCAAAAACTTACTAAGTAAATAAGGTTTGGGATACTAAGTAAAAATGCTCAGAAACTAAAATTTAAACCTTTTATATAACTCCTACCTTACCCTATAACTGCACTAGTGATGCCGACTAAACGTTTTAACATCACCATGTTTTGTTTTATCACGCAATAAATCTGATTTAACATATATCGTAGTTAAAATTGGTAAAATAAAAAAGATATAACTAGATAAAACTGTAGTTAAAAATATTGATTAAAATTAAACTATCGCTATGATCAAATTACGTAAAAGTCAAACTACTGTATTATAAATTAGAACATCAATAAGTGGAAGTTTAAAAGATCCTATTTTCTTTTTTAGAATTCCGAATCAGAAAGTTAAATAGGTGTAGCCGGTGATAAATTAGCTTTTTTTGATAAACATTCACCGGTAAGCGATTATGTAAATAAGTACGTACTTTAAAAAAATAGAAGTTGTACGTCGCTTCTTTTGAAATAAATAAATCACTTATCTTATCTGAAATCGTACGTCGAATCATTAATTCTGAAACCCAATATGTCGAATAATAATTTGAGTGCTATTAGCGATTGTTCAGCTTCTTCAATTAATAATCTAATTGATGAAAAAATTGTAAAATACTATACCAACCATTAATTGTCCAGAGAACATGCAAAAATACTAGCAAGAAAAAATTCATAATCGAAATAAAAATTCAAATTCTGTAAATCCTTATGTTCTCTTCTTTGACTCCAAGTATCTTAGAATTAGAGTATCTGACACACTAACATATTACAGGGCATGCCTTTTGTAAAATTTGTGCAATGCATGTCAAAAGGCATACTATAAAATATGATATATTATTTATAATACATTGCGCGATGCTTAAAGACTACATTTGTTCTATTTTAAATTTATTTTATTTAAAACATTGATTTTTTGAATATTTTTAAAGTTGCTTAATTTTGATTGGTCAAAATTTTTTAAAAATTTATTATATAAATTTAAACCAATTTGATTGGCTATTTGTTTTAATGTATCACATTTTAACTTTTTTCATACAGTATATAATTATATAAAAATACTATTTTTTTAAAGCTATATATTTTTAAAAAGTTATTATAGCATTTTAAACTAAGTTGTAGTAAATTGATTTAGCTACAAAATAGTAGTCTTCTTTTTTTTTTTTTTTTTTTATAAATACTGCCTCTTTATTACTCATTTTAGTGGAACATTCATCTTTACATTATTTTTACAAGAATATTCAGTATATCTTTGGTAACTTTTTTCTAACTAGTAAGCCAAATCTCCACTTTTTGTTAAAATTTTTTGGAAGACTAACTAAAGAGTAAAAGATAATAAAAAGAAACTATTTAACTAGATAAAAGGAGTGTAGCTTAAAAAGAAAAAACATATTATTTTATTGTTTCCCAGTGTTTTTATAGAAGTATGGCCTACGAGCTTTGTTGACAAAAAAAGAGAAGTATTTATGGAGTCTCTATCACCAAGATTTTTTATACAAGGGCATCTTCTACCAGTTATCTTGTATAAAAATGCATGCCAAATGTTCTTTTAGAGGAGTTCTGCACAGAAAATGCTAACCTCTAGACAAACCGCAATATAAGCCATAACTCTCCAATAAAAAGTTTGTTTTTCTATTAGTAGAAATTTTTGGTTTTAGTGATTGTTGAAAAGAGTTGAGAAAGGTTTTATTATAATTATTATAAAGCACTTATATTAAACCAAATTTTGGTTTTTTTATATGAATAAATATATATACTACACCTTGCAATATGCTAATTCATTGCATTATATAAATTATAATTTGTAAATCCCATATCAAACCAATTTTTTATATAAAAAATTAATTAGATTTAGATTAGAGTTAGGGTTAGAGCTAAGGTTGAAATTAGGGTAGAGTTAATATATATTAAAAATTTTGCAATAAATTTTTTTTGTTAGAATATAAAAGGTGGTTTTATAAATAAAATTTTGAGATATTACAAAAAATCCAAAAAATCTCATTTTTGTTATACAAAATTAATTTGCACATTATACCTGATCTTCAAATTTAATTGGTCAGATAATAAATAATTATAATGCAGAGGTGCAAAGCCTAGAAATCTTTTTTTTATATTATTGAAAAATGGTTTAGTTTATTTTATTAATAGTTATTTTGCTAACACTTTGTTTTATTGACAATCAATTTATCAAGTTTATTTTACTTAAGAATATTTCACTAATAAGATAATTCTGGTTATTGTTATTAGAATCAGACTTAGAATTAAAGTTAGAATTGGTTATATTTATAAAAAGTATTTGAAGCTGTTGATAAACTAAACATGTTACATATTAGTAAACTAAAATAATTGTTAGTAAAATAAACTTGTTACTGAAATAAAGTACTAATGAAATAATTGTCAATAAAATAATATGAATCTATATTAACAAATTAAACTATACAAAATCAACTTAAAAGTTTAATAATTTTTCTATATAAATATCAATATGTAATTATTTAATTATTGTAGATTTAACATTATAATAAAAAAATAAATAACTAATAATACTATAGTTTTAATCTAATAAAACTTGGTTATATAAATATTATATATATAATTAATTTTATATAACTTTGATATTGTAATAACAATGTGGAAGGGCCAATAAATGACAGTCAGACTTGACACACAAAGCAGACCTTGGCATCTTGCACAGCCATGAGAACTAGGCATACGGCAAGCGATTTGTAAAAGACCTACTATTCTTCTTAATTATCAATTCATCACACCCTATTAAGAAGATATACTTAAACAAATTTCTTTATGATACAATTTAATAATTTTAACTTTATTCCAAACTTCATTCTTTTACTTTTAATAATTATTTCAACTTTATTTAATCTTCTCTTTTTTTTTTTAAACAAATCAACTTTTGAGAAAAACAAAATACTACAATTTTCATTACTAACACTATTATATTAAAAACACCTAAACAATACTCAAATCATAATCATTTTTATTTACTCCTTTATAACTACTATCTCCTAAACCTACTATA